ACCGCAGCCTTATGAGGATTGTCAAGCAAAATCGATTCAAGAATTTGAGTGAACTTCACAAGGAATGGACTGAGGCTGGGGTCAAGGCATCAAGAGCCACCACACACAGACGTGTCAAGGAATTTGGCTACAGTTGTCGTATTCCTCTTGTTAAGCCACTCCTGAACCACAGACAACGTCAGAGGCGTCTTACCTGGGCTAAGGAGAAGAACTGTACTGTTGCCCAGTGGTCCAAAGTCCTCTTTTCAGATGAGAGCAAGTTTTGTATTTCATTTGGAAACCAAGGTCCTAGAGTCTGGAGGAAGGGTGGAGAAGCTCATAGTCCAAGTTGCTTGAAGTCCAGTGTTAAGTTTCCACAGTCTGTGATGATTTGGGGTGCAATGTCATCTGCTGGTGTTGGTCCATTGTGTTTTTTGAAAACCAGCGTCACTGCACCCGTTTACCAAGAAGTTTTGGAGCACTTCATGCTTCCTTCTGCTGGCCAGCTTTTTGAAGATGCTGATTTCATTTTCCAGCAGGATTTGGTACCTGCCCACACTGCCAAAAGCACCAAAAGTTGGTTAAATGACCATGGTGTTGGTGTGCTTGACTGGCCAGCAAACTCACCAGACCTGAACCCCATAGAGAATCTATGGGGTATTGTCAAGAGGAAAATGAGAAACAAGAGACCAAAAAATGCAGATGAGCTGAAGGCCACTGTCAAAGAAACCTGGGCTTCCATGCCACCTCAGCAGTGCCACAAACTGATCACCTCCATGCCATGCCGAATTGAGGCAGTAATTAAAGCAAGAGGAGCCCCTACCAAGTATTGAGTACATGTGCAGTAAATGAACATACTTTCCAGAAGGCTAACAATTCACTAAAAATGTTTTTTTTTGTTGGTCTTATGAAGTATTCTAATTTGTTGAGAGTGAATTGGTGGGTTTTTGTTAAATGTGAGCCAAAATCATCACAATTAAAAGAACCAAAGACTTAAACTACTTCAGTCTGTGTGCATTGAATTTATTTAATACACGAGTTTCACAATTTGAGTTGAATTACTGAAATGAACTTTTCCACGACATTCTAATTTATTGAGATGCACCTGTATTTGATCAAAAATACAGAAAAAAACTGTAAAATTATGAAATATTACAATTTATAATAATAATGTGTTCTTTTTTAATATACTTTAAAACATAATTTATTGCTGTGATCAAAGCTGAATTTTCAGCATCATTACTCCAGTCTTCAGTGTCACATGATCCTTCAGAAATCATTCTAATATGTTGATTTATTATCAATGTTAGAAACTAAATTAAATTATATTTTAAAGTATATTAAAATAGAATTCTTTTATTTTAAATTGCAATAATATTTCACAATTTTATAGTTTTTTCTGTATTTTTGATCAAATAAATGCAGCCTTGATGAGCAGAAGAAACTTCTTTAAAAAAACATGAAAATTCTTACTGATCCCAAACTTTTGAATGGCAGTGTATATGTATATATTTATCTATTTTGTGTGAAAAAGGCTATATGTCTTGCATTCATGGAACTACTATATACTGAAAGCGAGCAAAGAACATGTACATTATCATATCGTCACTGACTTCAGTGTAGCACGAGTTTAAGCACTCTCAAAAAACTTCGGGTATAATCAATAAAGCTGCCTACACTGTGAAATTAACATCTTATTTGCATTATATGCACATCTGCACACTTTCTAAAAGAATTCAGTCAGCGAATGGGTGCACCTGAACAGAACACTAATCTGAAAGCCTCAGCCCTATTGCGCATTACTGTAATATTAAAGGTTACAATTAACAACTGAGTCTGAACTATTAAATTCAATTATTTATTTTTTATATAATTGATATAATAATAATAATAATATATAATTGATATAATTATAATAATAATAATTAACACTCATTTAAAAAATTGAGGGCAAAAATGTAAATTGCACACAAGGCAGTTTTACATGAACTTATAAAGAAAAATTTTAATGTGTTATCTGTAATTGTAAAATTATGTTTCTACTCTAATTTGTTGAAATATAATTGCACACAGTGGCTTTCATAACTTGTATTCAGCAAAGATGCATTCATTTGTTTATAAGTGACAGTAAAGACAATGATATAAAGGTTACAGAAGATGCTATAATAATTATTATAAGACTTATTATAAGAATTATAAATAATAATTTATAAATAAAATAATTATTTTTTCGAATTGTTAGTTATATATAAAAAGCTTCAAGGTTTTGAAGTTTAATATAATTAACATTTAACAAGTAATTAAATTAGTTAATTTTAAAGTAATTACATTTATTAAAAAAGAGAAACATTAGAATAAAGATACAGGGTGCATGTTTAGAAATTTTTATTAATAAAATAATATTGAATTAAAATAATAAAAAAGTGGCTTTCAAAATCCCTTACTCAAGTTATACATTTATTTTTTATTTTTTGAAGAAAATTTCAGTGGTGATTGCTTGTGAAAAAACTGTCCACCATGATACTTGAGTGCTGATGGTGTTTGCCAGAGTAGCTGTGCAGTTGCTAAGGTGTTCTGAGTGGTTGTTAGCGCATTGTAGTTACTATGGTGTCTTGGGTGGTTGTTTCCTGGCCCAAGTCAAAGAGCACAGCCCCAAGTTTCTATGATTCCTGAGCCTAGATATGGCTCTGGTTCCACCTTCACTTCATAGAGTCTGTAGGATTTTCTATCCCTGTCAACATCTGCCAGGCAAGAACTGGAAGTCTGACTGTAGAAAAAAAAAAAAAACTCCTGAATTTATGAGGTTAAAAATGTTGCATGATGGCTTCAATATACCATATTTTAGTGTTGACTTGGAAGGAAAGTACCAAACATGTTGTGCACAAGGTCCGACTGAATTAAACCCCACTGACAGGCGCAGGTGCTGCATTTGCCCATCTTCCTAAAGCCTGTGTCTGCTGAAAAGCGGTTTGTTAAGTCTCAGCAGGATTCGTCTTATTGAGCATCACCCCCATAACCTGACTTTGTGCGTGGGTTTAAGTACGGGACTAGCTAACGGATTAGGCTGATCACTGCGGCCGGCGAGAACGCATGCGCTAGATACTAATGAGCTTCAAGGACACATGCCATTTCCTCCTTATTACCTTCTGCTTGTGACTCATTGCGAGGCTGATACATAGGAGAGAGAGCGTGCTCACACTGGGCCGTACTCCATACTATGAGTTGATTAGTTAATTTGAATTCGTTTCAGAGTGCGTGCGTGTGGACGTGGCAGGAAACAAATGGCGAATTTTCATTCCTCTGCTGCGTGGCACCCAGACAGGTCAAGCAGTCCCAGAGTACAATGAATGGAGCTTAAAATAGTTTATACTTTCTCTTACACACAGTTCTAAAATAAGAAAGAAGTGGAGATCGCTGCCTCTTGTGTTTGATGTCCCACTTCATGCTCAAAACCACGACTGACCCTGAGAAGACAATACAGTTTTCTGAACGGCCTGACTATTATAGCTAAGTACCAGGGCACAAATTAGTCAATGGAAATAGTTTGTGTTTTTATTGTTCTTCCCCTGTAAAGTTATGCATGTGTAAATTCAGCAGTGAGCGTGCTCACACTGGGCCGTACTCCATACTATGAGTTGATTAGTTAATTTGAATTCGTTTCAGAGTGCGTGCGTGTGGACGTGGCAGGAAACAAATGGCGAATTTTCATTCCTCTGCTGCGTGGCACCCAGACAGGTCAAGCAGTCCCAGAGTATCTTGAATGGAGCTTAAAATAGTTTATACTTTCTCTTACACACAGTTCTAAAATAAGAAAGAAGTGGAGATCGCTGCCTCTTGTGTTTGATGTCCCACTCCATGCTTGAAACCACGACTGACCCTGAGAAGACAATACAGTTTTCTGAACGGCCTGACTATTATAGCTAAGTACCAGAGCACAAATTAGTCAATGGAAATAGTTTGTGTTTTTATTGTTCTTCCCCTGTAAAGTTATGCATGTGTAAATTCAGCAGTGTAATTAAGTCGAGCCTAAAGGATGTCCGTGACACTGTGGGTGTAAGGTTAAAAATGACCTCATGAGCAATGGAATGAGATAATGCTAATGCGATGCTCAGGTTTGGAATCAACAATTAAATGGCTCTCCACAATAAACTTTATATAGCACTTTTTTATTTCAATTTCTTGCAGGGTTATTTATAGGGACTGCTGCTACACTGCTGTTCAAACGTTTGAGGTCAGTAAGATACTGGTTTTGAAGAAAAAGGATTACTTAACCAACACTTTAGGATTGTTAAAAATTGATATTGATAAAAAGTGAGAAGTGTATTTCAAATAAATGCTGTACTTTTGAACTTTCTATTCATCAAAGTCCATAAAAACCTGTAGCATGGTTTCCACAAAAATATTATGCAGCACAACTGTTTTCAACATAATAATCAGCATATTAAAATGATTACTGAAGAATAATGTGACACTGAAGTAATGATACATTGTCATTATCTAGTTAAATCTTGTACTTAAATTGTGAGGAGGTAAATATTTCACAGTTTGAAATATACATGCGTGCATGCAGCCATTGTGGAGATTTTGAGCGAGTGGTTGTTAGGGGTGTCGAAATTAATCGTTTCAACGATGCATCGCGATGCAGACAAGGACGATTCGGTATCAGTTCAGTAATAGACCATAACCGATTATAACGTACTGACGCTTTTCTGATGTCATTTGTCGTGGTAGCATACATTAGGCGCGTTCGGCTTGAAGCGTCGCTGCGTAGAATGATCAGTGTATGACATCAAGTACCGCGAGAGCGATAAGAGAGCAGACAGATCCTTATGCTTTCGAATCGCTCTCGCGGTTTATGTCATACACTGATCATTCTAGGCAGCGCCGCTTCAAATCGAACTCGCCTGATGGTGGAGGGAGGCGAGACGCGAGTAATTAAAAATGCTCCAACTACTTTAAAAGCCGACATCTGGGCAAATTTGGTGAAATTGAATTATTGACTGAATTCTTTGTGGTTTCAGGAGCAAGCAGTGCCTCCCCTGTAGTGTGGATGAGGAAGTCATGGATGACCACACCTCCCCACTGGAGTCCGACCAGTTGCTCAGCCACGACATCCCAATGCTCACCTCCCCGCCGCACCCGCCCAACATCGTCAACGGAGAGGGACCACAACAGGTAGGATAAATCAGCATCGCTTCTTCATGCTCACTTGTGTGTTCTCTGTCAAGTCTATAAGCTATGTTCTGCAGAAAAAGCTATTTTCTACCTAGTAGACTGCTGAAGTTCTGCTGAAATAATTTCTCATGGCAAACTCACTTATATGGTTCTGTTGAACCCAGGAGAGCAAGCTGAGCCAGGTCTGTCTGTTGATAATAATGATCGTCATCATATTATGAGAAAGAGTGGGCAATATAGTTAATGTTGATGTATATCAATATTAATATATTTTAGATTTTGTACTAAAACATTTTAAATCATGCAAAATGGCATGCTGGTATTTTGTGCCCTGATAATTTGGAGTTGTGACACTTACACTGCTCACTTTCTCTAAAATAACTTATCTACTCTATTTGCCACATTTTCTGCTGAGGTCAGACACTTTCTCTAGGGATGCCCAGTAGGGATGTAACGATTACCGGTTTGACGATAAATCGTGCTAAAATACACCACGGTTAGTATTAACGTTTCGTATTTTAATTAATCACTATAACCGTATTCGTTTACCGCGATTTGAACAACTGAGGATAAATAAATACTGTACTGCACAGGGCTCCAGTGTGTGACCAAATGGGCACATTTTGCGATAATTTTTTCTGCCGGTGCGACTAAATTTTGTGTCCGGTCGCACTGGCGCGACCTCCGCATTGTTTAACTCATAAGCGCTGCATTTCTGTTGCATATGAGAAACATGAAACGGCTAACGAAACTGAAAGCATAAAGAAACCGCGCTACTCGTTTGAACTGCGCAGCGCTTATAGAGTGTAGAGCCTGGTTTATACTCGCCGCGTCAGCAGGAGCGCGAAGCTGCGTGCAGCAAAAATGACGCGAATATTGAGGAAACGATGGATGGGTTTCATGCTAAAGTAAAAGACCGCTTCTTAAACCAAAGGTAAACATGTTGGTATTCTTGTGGGGGGAAAAAATATTTACATTCTCAACTCTTTACGTTTATTTATTACATGACCGACGAAGGTATGCATGAATAATCACTAAGCGCCGCATTTTGACACATTTTTGCGTGTATTTGACCGTTTAGGCGCGCACCTTGAGCTAAAAGATGACTTTACATGTCTGTGTTCTGTTCCGAGCGCATATATCTTCCTGAGGATATATCTTCTCTTTCAAGCTTTTAAAAACATGAATAAATATACTTATATAAATTAAGCATGTCCCATTTTGCAAAAGTCACGTTACATAATTTTACTGATTTGCACGTGAAATTGGGCTTTTATGGAGGAACGATAGCGCTGGAAAAGGGGGCGGAATGGGGGCGTAATAATCGTTTTATCTCGATTATTGTATTTTCATAATCGTTGGAGGCCAAAATCGAAATATTTTGAATTTGTCTTTTGTTTGATTAATATTAAGCACACAGTCGCAGCAGGAAAATAGCCCGCTGTCACTTTAAGAGATCCAATTTACCAATTTAACGGATCCAATTTACCGTTACACGCGTATTTTCATTCTCAACTCTTTACGTTCATTTATTATGTGACCGACGAAGGTATACATGAATAATCACTAAGCGCCGCATTTTGACACATTTTTGCGTGTATTTGACCGTTTAGGCGCGCACCTTGAGCTAAAAGATGACTTTACATGTCTGTGTTCTGTTCCGAGCGCATATATCTTCCTGAGGATATATCTTCTCTTTCAAGCTTTTAAAAACATAAATAAATATACTTATATAAATTAAGCATGTCCCATTTTGCAAAAGTCACGTTACATAATTTTACTGATTTGCACGTGAAATTGGGCTTTTATGGAGGAACGATAGCGCTGGAAAAGGGGGCGGAATGGGGGCGTAATAATCGTTTTATCTCGATTATTGTATTTTCATAATCGTTGGAGGCCAAAATCGAAATAGTTTTTCGATTAATTGCTCAGTCCTCATGTAACGATTCACTCAACTCAAGATTCTATTCACGGTTTTTATTTCACGATTCGATTTTCTCACAATTTTTTTTAAACAAAATTTGATTGAACAAATTATACAGTAAATGAAAAGGTGTCATTTTATTAGGCTATTGCTGCACGTTTCTTTGTGAAATTGAAATATAACAAAACTAAATGTAAATTTTAAAACAAACCCACAAATAAAAGAAATGTCTTAATATGAACAAACTATGGCTTTGTCTGTGCTCTTTCCACTTAAAATTGGAGGCAACCACTGGATTTTAATCATGATCCAAACAAAGATGCAGCATACATGCAGCATGAGTAGTTTTTAATCTAAATTAGACTGTATAATTTTGAAATTTGAAGAAAAAACAGAATGGTCTGACTTTAGTTTTGTGAAAATATACTACATAAAACATATCTGAACGAAACAGCAGATGAGCTGAATGAGATGCAGATTCACTCTTTGACAGCAGGTGGCGCTGATGAACAGCAATGATACAGTGTTTACTGGGTTACCACTGTAAACAAAGCAGAGCTGCGTAGGGATGGGCGATACCTCTTATTTTATTTTCGATCCGATACCGATATTTTCAAGCCCAGTATCGTCAATATCGATACCGATACCTATAAACCAGGGGCGGAGCCGGGGGTGGCCAGGGCCAGCTGCGCCTATGAACACTACTTTAATATGCATTGTTCAGAGGCAAGATGAAAAGAAAATACCACGTATACCTTTTATTGGCAGTTAGGTAGTCAGTTCCCCTCAAATCTCAACCGATTTGAATCGTCACATATTTTAATCGATTTCCGGCTTGCGGTTAATTGTTACATCCCTAACGGTGAACACTGTTCATTTACGTGCAAGCAGCTCAGCTCCTTATAAAACCTTAATTAATAAATACCAGTATCAGCTGATTTTAAGATGACATGGAAGCTAATCAGTATCAGCTGTAAATTTTTGATCAGAATAGACTATCTACGTCACACAAGGATGGTGTGTACAAGGGGGAAATAAAAAATGCATTTATGATCATTGTGATATTCATGACTGTGCTTATTTTAATTAAAAAAATACATTGTTACTAGGGCTGTGCGATTAATCGAAATCGAATCGAAATCGCGATTTGAGACGTTGCGATTTCCTAATCGCAAAGCCTGCGATATGGACGCGATATTACTCTGTTCCAGAGCATATGCATGACTGCCAGCCTTGAGTTGCAGTCTTACTAACCAATAGAGTGAGCGCACCTCCGTTCTCCCCAATCAGCACTGCTCTAGCCAACTGCGTAAACACCCACCATTTAAAAAAAAAAAAAAAACCGCAAGCGGGAGAGAGACAGAGTGGGATTATGGCGTCTACTGGGTCAGATCGATAGTTAGGCAAATTAAAACTAAAGAAAAACGTATGCAACTTAAGCTTCGAAATGACAGACAACGAACAAAACAGGTACGGTAATTTTACTTTGCAAATTTAAAATCGCAAATCAAATCGCAATCGCAATATCTGTCAAAAAAATCGCAATTTGATATTTTCCCCCAAATCGCACAGCCCTAATTGTTACCTCTGTTTTTTTTTTTGTTAGTTTTTTTTCAGTCGCTGCACTGCAATTCTTCTTGTGATTAGTATGCTTAAAGTGTTACTATTCCGTCATCGTAGATAAGGAATGGTGTGACTCCCAAAGTGTCAGCATCAGTTCTTGTGGCTCTGGTCTGTCCTTACGTCACTGACCCTGACCCAGCGCAGAAACGTGTGATATAGGAGTTACGGCCATGGAGAGGATCTGTCAATCCGTTGCTGCCTCCGAAGGCTGTCATGGCGAGAGTCAGTGCATGTGACGAGGCTGGGTGCCACCGCTGTCACTTTCATAGACGTCAGGCTGATTTCTTAAACCGCATAAACACATTTCATTACACCAAATACACAAAATAATGTTCTTTTTAGCAACATCATATGGCCCCTTTAAGTGACCGTGACTGCTGTTCTCAAAAGTGATGCATTTTCACCTTGTTTGAATGTGTCATACATTTCTGTGTTTTTTTTTTCTTTTTTTTCTTGGAAGCGGATTTCCAGTCCATCTTATTGGTAATTACCATTAATTCCAGACTAGACTTGTCGCTTGGCAAATTATAGTGCACTCAGATAAGTGTTAACCACTGTTTCAGATTCTTTAAGATATAAACCAAGTCTGAAGAATGTTGGAAGTTAAGGACGTTTTACTCACCCACTATGTGTAGTGGAAGTCTATCTAGGCTCGGCAAGGCCGTGTTGTTATTAGCGTGCTGTTGACTTTTCAACTCTTGCGGCGAGTTCCCAATCATCCTTATGGTCAGCTGAGCGCTTAGAGAAGCAGAAAATGCATACGCACTGTCCCCTGCTCCAATCTTCCATTCCTATGACCCTTGTCCCCATTCATTTTTATCACCTCCTGCTCGCCTCATTCATAAAACCACAAGTTGTGGAAGTGCATTGCCAAGCAAACTCATTTATAGAATTGGCTTCCGTAGAGCGTGGCATATGATGCCTTTTGCTTTTTTTTAAGCTTTATCCTAATTTTCTTGGTGTCTAGACAGTGGAAAGCAAGATTAGGATGCAGACGCTTTCTCTCGTTAGGGAACAGGTAGATGTTGTCTGTCAGGATCCAGATATGCAAGAGATAGCATGATGGGTTTCATGTCACGCCTCTTCAGCAGTGCAAGAATACAAATGAATCTTTGCTAGTGCGAAAAGCCAGGACTAGTTCAGTGTTAATCACCACGCAAGCGTGTGCCTGTCCCCGTGTTTGTTTGTGCCCTTGGCATTTCTCTTCATGTGTGGCCTTTTACGCCTACAACTAATCACGATCGTGGCGCCTCTCCAGGTGTGCGTTTGATGCTTGCAACAGGGAGAGCTCAAGGTAAAGTAAGTGTAACTAAGTGACTCCTGGTGTTAGCTGGTCTGTGTGTCAGAGGAAATGTGCTTGTGCAAGAGAGACTGGGTAAGCGGTACATGTGAGAATACGAAACTGACGGCAGGAGTTTTCTGAGTCCCCGTGACCCAGACCGAGTGACACATC